AAAATTAAAATTTCCTTCGCGTGAGCACGCGTTTGAGATGAAAATCCGAGGTATTCCGCTGTCAATCGTTGCGGAGGACATTTTTGATGATACCGAACAGGGCAAAGCAGCCCGATGTTGGCCCCCCGCTGGGGTATCGGTTACGCTCAAACTGCGTTTATAAGGCCTCGAAACGCGGCTTTTCGTACGAGCCGACGGCCTCGCTTAGAAGAGGACTTACGAGAAGGCCGGCTCTCAAAAGACCCCGAGACGGTGGCGCCAAAGAGATTCGTATCTGGCGCGAGACCCCAAGAAAGGGCTCCTTCACCAGCCCTTCTCCACCAACGTGGGCCTCGTCAAAGATAATATCTGATTCCGAATCGTTCATTTGCTTACTCGCTCGCTCGCTCGTTCGTTCGTTCGTTCGTTCGTTCGTTCGTTCGTTCGTTCGTTCGTTCGTTCGTTCGTTTGGTTGTGCAGGTTTCCATGTAGGGTAACTGTCCGTATTAATGTATCTTTTAGCCAATTTGCTTATTACCAAATTAATAACTAAATATTGTAGCTTTAATTTTATCTGCTTGCAATCAATTTCGGTTTTTCAACTATTTCTTTTTTATATAATATTTCTTTAATTTAAAAAATGTTAATATTATACTTTATAATGTTTTCGATGAAACATGTTTTATCCTTATTAGCGAGGCCTCCAAGTGACGATGACTCTATTAATGTGCCCCCAATTTGTGTGCCTATCTGCATTGGAACTATTCTCCTACTCTCATTTTAACAAATAGTTATTAAAAAAGTTAATAAATTTAAGCTAATTGTTTAAGTTAATATTACATAAATCATCATTTCAATTATACTTATTTCAATGTACACTCATAACACAACGTTCTCAGCTCCAATACAGGGCACACTAATAGGGACAAGCTTAAAATCTTGCGATACGTATTACCGGATTTACATAAATTCTTCATATCTTTCGAAAAATGTTTAAAATAAAAAATATAATTAAAAAGTAAAACATTACCTTTGATATCGTCACATTAATAATTTACATACATTAATAATTTAACTTAAGAAAAGAAATTTTTTTTTATTTATTCGTGTTAGTTTTCTTTATGGCTTATTGAAATACAAAAGCACAAATAAATTAATAGGGACAGACATAATAATAGGGACAGTTACCCTACTCAGACTCGTTTTCTTGGGCTCAGTACGGATGTCATCGTGTTCACCTTACGAGCGAAACGAGGAGGGGGAGAGGCCTTTCTCGAGGCTCCGAATTAACAATCGGAAGAGTACGGTACGCACACGGTCAGCGGGAGTACGGAACGATCGAGATTAACTGCGAACCGCAATGAGGAAGGAAGGAGGAGTCTCTTTTCGCGGTGGTCTTTAAAGCCTCTTTTCGTGTAGACACTCGAGATTCGTATTTCCCTGAGTTTCGGCTTTGCGCATCGATATACTTGATAACAGTGCATAACTGAAAGCAGGGAATGGGAAAGAACAATATTTCAATAGTATGCAATATTATAAAAATTGCAGCAATATTACTGCAATATTAAAATATTAATATTTTATTGGAAATATTGCAATATATTATTGCAATATGACAATTCAAATAAGTACGCGGCCTCGCCACGAGAGGGATACGTAAGGAGAAAATATCCAGGAATTCTATAAGGAGTACACAAATCGAATTAGCGATTCTCCTGGAGAGTCCCAATCTTTTATGGATTGTGCTTTCTAGGCCCCTGAATATTTTTTGATCATAACTTTATTGTATGTATTTTAGAATATGATGCTAAATAATAATACTCGTATGTTAGTAATTAATAAAACTGGAATAGTTATTGAAATAATGCATAATGTTAACAGTAAGTATGTAATATTTCTCTAAATGTTGCAGAAATATTTCATTTTTACGGAATATTGTTGTAATATTTCGTGCTGTAGAAGTATAATGATAACTAAACCCTAAGGTTACGCTATGGTTAAGAAAGTCACTTTGAAAAGTAACTTATTGTCATCGGTATGCGTTATTTACTGAAAAAAGTAATAACTAGTAACGCATTGACAAGTTACTTTTTCCGTTACAATGAATAAAAATAATTAATTATAAATAAAATGTTACTTTTTCCAGTAATGAGTGACTTTTCCAACCCGTTACAATAAGTAACATTTGACCTTTTTAACTCTGATATTACTATTACTAATATTATAAAAAAATTCGCAACGTCATTACCAAATTGTTATTATAACAAAGTAACGATAAAAAGTAATGGCGCGGCGGCATTACAAGTAATGCGTACTTCCATTCCCCGAATGAAAGCATATTCCGCAACGCGACACAATGAACTTATTAATCGAAATATTATATGTAACGGTAATATGATTATCTCGCTGGGATCCTTCAGATATTATCGTCTAATAGATATAATTAGCCACGATATCGCGCGGATCTTTCTCCGCTTTTTCGTGATCTAAAATTTTGTGGGGCGGAAAAAAAAAGTGGCAGTGATTATCAATCGATGAGAGGTTAAAAGAACATTATGTAGCAAAATTGATTGAGAAATGAAAAAAAGATGGCTAACGATAAATAAACAATTTTTCTTTACTTCTTGATATACTTAATTTATATCCAGGCAACGCTTAAATATATAGAGTGCGCTTAAATATATAAAATTAAAAACTATCGAATTCGTCTGATATTGTGGATGCAACAAGGTCACATCGATTGATCGATTCATCGAAAGTTTAATTATGAAAATTACATAGTGACGGCAAGGTAATTACCAGATATATGAAGTAAAAATAAATTATCAGGCAGTTACGTGCTTTAAAAATATCATCAGAAGAAATTGATACTTTCGATAATTATTGATTCATCGTTGATCGTTTTATTTATATCTTAAGTAAACGTTATTTCAATTGCATCATGCATTTCGAGAATGCAAGAAAATTTTAAGATTATTTTTTATTAACAACAAATATTCATAATCATATGCGCGACAATTAATTAAGAAAATAATATAGTGTGTGACATTAATTCGAGGTTTATATCGAAGCATAGAATATCGCGATATTCGATTTATTTCGAATAAAAGTAGATATTAAAGTATGCTAAGTACTCTTATCCAAATAGAGATGATTTTACTATAATAATACAAATTATATCGTTTTTTTAAACTCATTTATCGCGCTCTCATTTCAATCTCTATTCTTCAAAATGGTATATCACTTTTTTACTTTAAAAATAACGCAACTTAAAAAAAACGTGATTTTCTATCAATCATTAAAGATAAATTCACATAATTTCATTTAAAAAATTGTCAAAATCATTACAATTAGAAAAGAGTGATTTTAAAAAGTCATCAAAGTTATAATTCAAAAAGAGTTGTTGCTAAGAATAGTTTTTTCTTGTAAAATGAAAATAACAAAAATGACATTTGGAGGCCGATTCTATCTAGCTCTTAACAACAGTCGTTGATGTCATTGCGCAGCTCTTTTATTCTACATAATATCTACACAACGACATCAACGACTGTCGTTACAGAATCGTAATCATGTTAAGAATACAGAGTAAAATCGCGTCCAAAGAATACGCACCGCTCAAGAATACATATTAAGCTTTATGGCACAACTATTAAATCGCAGCCGCTGTAACTCACACAGAATGTGCCTTTTTGGTTAGTTAATTCGTATAAAAGATAGTTGTGATCATTATAGCGATAAAGGAGATATATTAAATTCTGTGATTTTGGCCATTTTCTTATTGTACCTATTTATCACGAATAAATTAATCGATTTTCATATTAAATTGTTGTGAATCTATATTTATATTGTGTACATATAATATATGTCTGTGCTTCATGTTTAATGATATATTTATTTAATATCTATAATAGTTTTTATACGAAAAGTAAAAAGTAACATGACTGTCTATAAAAGTACGCCCTTGAAATCTTAATCCAATCTGTGAAAAACAGTGATGCTGTAGATGATGATAACGATAACAGTTTACATATTTTGTAACAGTTATTTATATTTGAATTTTAAATTCGATGAAAATTAAATGCAGTGCCAAAGCTGTTGGCTCTTAGACCCATATCGATTGCACTGAGTTCAATCGTCGGTCAAAAATTTACTTACAAGTATATGAACTTTACATGTAAAAAATACTTTACGTATTTAAAAAGATTTATATTCAATCGAAAATAAAAGCTTTTTTATCTTGTTTTTACAATAAACGACACTTTTTTTTTAAGTACATACTTTTGAAGACACTTGTCCAAGAGTATCCATTTTTATCTTCTTAGCAAAATTGACTTCCTGAGTGTTATTATCAAATTGATACTTGATACATTTTTAGATCAAACTATAAGGAATAATTTAAGTAGCATTTTAACGGTCAAACTCGGATTCTTGTACAAGTTATACAGCATGAAAGTACGTACTCTTAGGCGGTGTATCCTACATTCTTTTTATCGATATTATTTGTTTAGTCACTTTTCTGTCGAATTAAAAAATAGTTTTTCCTCTTTTTTGGCAAATTTACGGTAAATTTCGATCACTCGCATTACGTTGAATTAATGCATATTAAAAACTGCTTTATATTAAATAATCTCAATGCAATAACACAATATAATCATCTTTGATAATGAAATAATATATGTATATTTTGTTAAATAACATGACAATATTATTAATAGATAGTTAATCATTTAAAATATTTATATACTTTTACATTTAACTTTGCTGATTTCATGTATAGCAGCTTTCAGTATGCACTGATCTAGCGTAGTGCAAAGTGATCGAATTTGTTATTAGTTCTTTTGAGTTGTATCACTTCTAAAGTAAAGGAGTGATTTCTCAACGAGTTGTAATACCCTTTTGCAAGTATCTCGTGACAAGAGTCATTTTTGTCGCGAGACAAGCACCGCAAGCGCACTAGACACGACAAACGAAAACGCGGTTCAAAAAATCAGTCAGAAAATCAAGCATTTATATTCCGCGGAGATTTTTTTAGCGGCGGCTGGACAATTTTTTCATTTCTTTTATGGCCGGTCGTAACATAACTCTGAATCTATTACTACGGCCACCGCCACCATCACATCCTAATACCTGCTCGCGCGCATCACTCTCGCGGCAGTCGCTTTAACTTCTGTCTTTTCCTCTCCTCTCCTCTCTTCGTGGCTGATCACCAACGTAAGACGAATTCGCGTAGGTGGAACGAGCTCTGATGTCCGCTCGGCGAGCGTTTTAAGCGCGGTGGAAACACGCGATGTGCTCGGTATTCCTCGTAAATCGCCTGGGACACGACGGGAGGTCTTCGATTGTTAAAGTCCCAACTTTCGCCAGACCTTTTTATTCGCAGTTGCGTTATCAATCGCTATCGAGCGTTATGGATCACGTTTCGTAACTGCTTCCAAATATCACGGGTCATTCTGTCGGTACCGTCTATTGATTCACA